GCCCTATTTGTCTTATCTCGGTCTCTATTTTGTTCGATTTCGAGAATTTTGTTTTTAATGGTTGTTGACGGTGATTCAAATCTTCAATCTATTTATGATAAATGAGTTCAATTTGTTGATTTTTGAAGTTCGATTTGGTTTTTGTGTTTAGATTTTGATTTAATCTGAAACATGCATGATTTTTAGGTTTTGAGATTGCGTTTTTAGGTTTAACTTAAGATTTATGTCGGTTCTTTTGAATCTGTTATTGGATTGAAATTTCTGATCTTTCTAGCAAGAAAGTTTTGATTTTGTGGATTTATTTAGGTACATTTGTTTACTCTCTTTACAGTAGATGGTGAGTGAAGTATTAGTGCTGGAAATGGAGGTTTTATTTATTAATTGGGTAAGATTGTCAGTAATTGTTAATCTGCAACATAAAGAACAACTATGAGGCAGTTTGGTGTGGGCATTTGTGGTCTTGCTTATGTTGTGAAGAAATTTAGATAAGTGAGTCACTTAAGATTGAGTATATATTGAGATTGATGGAGGATTAGGAACCAGGAAGAGGGGAATAAAGAGAAAAGATAGAATTTTGACCTAGATGGTGAAAAAGAGATGCTATATAATGAAATTTCTCTAGCTTTATCTGGTTAGGAAGGTAGGTTAGGCTAGTTTCTGTTGTGGTTGATTGTAATCTGTTGATGATGTTGTTTTACGTTGATGTCCTGTTTTGTTGAATCTGTATATCGTACTTGTTTGGTTCGTTTAACATGGTCAATTATTTGTCACATTAGAGTCATAAATGGCTTAGGTGTTTGTATGCCTATCTTTTTGGTCTAATCTGTGTAGACAAAGTGTTTATTTCTCACGGATTTTATATGATAGTTGAGCTATGTAGTAGACGAACTGCTAGGCCTAACAAGGACGTTATTACTAACAATATTCACTATATGATTAGTAAATTATTTTTTTCACAATTTGTTTGACCTTGCCACTTCGGGGAGAGACTGCTCATTTTCTCATTTAGGGATTAAAGAAGGGATGCATTAGTCCTATCAGTGCTTGGTTTTCTCAAGTATATATACT